GCCATTAATCTCAGTAGTCTGCCAAAAACCTGGTTCAGTGAGCGAATAACGAAGCTTAATGAGGGCGATGAATTGCTGACGTCGGTAGCGACTTTTAGGTAGCGTTAGGTTATCTGGGACGTCGGTAATGCGGGGAGGTTGTGTGTAGAGGAAAAATGTAGCCCTGCCACAGTTTCTTGTAGCTGAAATGATACTTTAATCACTGTAGTTAAAGTGATTCTTCAATCACTGTAGTTTTAGTGATTCTTCAATCACTGGAGCCATAGTGATACTTCAACATGTTTTCCTGTAAGTATTTCATTCCCATGGGCTGATCATACGAGCCTGATGCCCTACAGGTTATCAACGGTTTGTTGGGTGCAGCCTTCGTAATCGTGAGGTGCACAAGAGTAAAAGAATAACACGGTTATAAATTTAAGCGAAGTATAGTTTTTCGCAGAAATAAGTTTAGACAACCCAATAATACATTTCCACCCAACGGCTGCGAATTTATTTCTCGGTACGACAATAATTTACGATTAAATAATATTCAAAAGCGTTTGTTAGTAGAAACTATAGCCATGGCTGGACACAAAAGCCAGTGTAGCATCCATTGCAGCGTGCGCTCGATCACAGGCAACTCTCTGTAGGTTCAGTGAGCAATACAAGCTTTCTTATCAAGCGACAACATGAAAAGGAAACCTCCATATTACCTAGGGCTGCGCATATCGACCGTCGCCATAAATATGATTAAGGATAAATAAATTTACAGATTAATCGCCAAAATATCGATCGCAAACATCAGATATATTAGGATTAGGAACAGTCCGACTAGCAGTTGCTGCTAGTCGGACGACAGAGACTCCATGGAGCAACATCAGAAAATGTCAAGTCATGTTCAGAATGTTATCAATGGACGTTATAACTTATTATTTAGGCTCGACTGTTGTATAATGGTTCTCTTTATAAGAATAACAATCTTTGTTGAACAGACTGCATTACAGAACAGTACCCGCAGCCTGTCTCTATATGCAGTTTCCGGACACAACACTGTTTCAATCTCAGTTGTGATGCCGATCAACTGGGCTGCAATGAATCGCATTTCAATCACAGATTCTAAAAATCCTACACAAATGTGATCAAAATTTCCCATTTTAAAGGTATCAGAAGATTAAAGACGACCAAAATTGTTTAAAATTCCTCGTGAAATTATATCCGTGATACATTACTTGATGACTTAATATAACCATTCTCAATAATATAAGTATTAAAATCACTTGTTTGCTTAAATCGCAAGTTAACTAGGAATTTAAAAGCAAAAACAATACCACAAAAATTCACCATATCTTTATAAGAGAAAACGTTTCGGAGTCCAGCTCCATCGTCAGTTCACAAAATTCAATTCAGAAGAAGTTCAGATCTAGAAACACAAATACAATCAATTAGTCGAGCAAAAGGCACTGTTGGGTTTTAAAACGGAGAATAAATAAATAAGACATGAAATTAACGCTAGTAAACGGCCTATCTATTTACTATTTCAAGAGGAACGGAGCTAAAAGCGGCATTTAGACTAGGCTTCTGCTTGAATATATATAGGGAATCTAAAATGCGTAGATCAGTAACACCGAATATCTTCTGGATGTAAATCTTCATGTGTTGCTAGTTAACAATTTTAGAATCAGCTCGTTTTTCAGGTTTAAGGATACCCTACCTGTTCTTATGCAATCGTCACTAGTTTACATATATAGTTGTGCTCAGTGCGCATCAGCGTACGTCGGTATGACGTCACGCTATTTCTATACTAGGCTGGCTGAGCATAAGGGCAGGAGTTATAGGACGGGGAACCTACTTGCACATCCACCTCATTCTGCTTTACGTGTTCATGCTGAGCAGTGCAACACCTCTGTATCCGATAATGATTTTAAAATTCTAGCTTCCGCATCCGGTGTTACTGATCTACGCATTTTAGAATCCCTATATATGTTCAAGCAGAAGCCTAGTCTAAATGCCGCTTTTAGCTCCGTTCCTCTTGAAATAGTAAACAGATAGGCCGTTTACTAGCGTTAATTTCATGTCTTATTTATTTATTCTCCGTTTTAAAACCCAACAGTGCCTTTTACTCTACTAATTGATTGTATTTGTGTTTCTAGATCTGAACTTTTTCTGAACTGAATTTTGTGAACTGACGATGGAGCTGGACTCCGAAACGTTTTCTCTTATAAAGATATATATATATATGGTGAATTTTTGCGGTATTGTTTTTGCTTTTAAATTCCTTCTCAATAATATATATTAAAACAGATAGATATGTCTCCGACACAAGTATTGGCTAGTGCCTGGCAGAGGCCGCCGCATGATGGATGACGACGATCTATTATTAAAATTATGATCATGCTCACTGAGGCCTGAATGGAACGTGACGTGAATGAATGGACCCTATGCATATGTGCATATTTACGAGTATACAAAGTTTTTGTGTGCTTGTATAAGAGTTGAAATAACTCTTTCTATGCTGGTGCACGAGTGAGCAAACTTTGTGCATTTGTGTAGGAGTATAAAAACTTTGTGTGCAAATGTATGCGCACTGTCTTGTATAAACTCAGTAAACTATGACTCCGCAGCTAACACACGTTGTAATGTATACAACTGACAAATATTTGTATGAATAGACTCATATGTCTTCCTAGGTTCCCACACCTGTCACGCACATGTGCACCGTGACACGCGAGGGAACCTGCTGATGTGCAAAGAAGCTACTGAAGACACATGGTGACTACACATACATGTGTTGCGTTCACCAAAACACACACGGTGCGGTAAACCGACCACGCATACAGGTGTGTTCACCAAAACACACGCGGTGCGTGCCACGGACCACGCAAACAGGTGTTGCGTTCACCAAAACACACACGGTGCGGGCCACGGACCACACAAACAGGTGTTGTGTTCACCAAAACACACACGGTACGGACCACGGACCACACAAACAGGTGTGTTCACCAAAACACACACGGTGCGGGCCACGGACCACACAAACAGGTGTTGTGTTCACCAAAACACACACGGTGCGGGCCACGGACCACACAAACAGGTGTTGTGTTTACCAAAACACACACGGCGCGGGCCACGGACCACACAAACAGGTGGTGAACGCAACCACCTGTTTGTGTATTCACCAAAACACACTGTGCGGCACACAAACATATGTTGTATTCACCAAAACACACACGGTGTGGGCCGCGGACCACACAAACAGGTGTTATGGCAACATGCAGCTCAATCTGACACCTGTAAGCCAAGCAGCGCCTGCCAACATGAAAGAAGCCGCTGCTGCGAGCGTTCACAACTCTTTTAACCGCTGCCAATTTATGACTTAAGTAGGACCTATATATATGAGTAATTGAGTATATTGGCACGAATAATATTTATATTGAGCATTTGGGCCAGAACTAGTGACAGCTAGTGATTTTGGAGTCCTGTTTCATGTTTATTACATATTGTATCATCAAATAGATTTATTGATATGATAAAATAAATTGTCTATTGAATTGCGCCGGAGCAGTGAAGCAGCAGTACTGAATATTAAGAACCAAACATGGTTATAGGAACCATTTCCGGTTCTAAGAACCACTTCTGGTTCTAAGAACCACTTCTGGTTCTAGGAACCACTTCTGGTTCATAAGCAGCCTATATGTGCGGCCAAGGGTTTGTTTGCGTTGGTAAAGCTTCAGTATTTAATACGGTAGGCCTTGCTAGGCTGGTTACATATTTGACTTTGTTTACACGAACGATGTCGGCCCCGTGGCCGCTAATTGTACCAATTTATCCCATGCAAAGCAAGCGCTGGTGAAGCAGGAAAGTCAGGCTCGTTCCTCTAGAGCTTAAACTTTTTAACTTATTTCTCGAGTATCTATTGTTATTCAGACATAAATGGAGGTTCATGCTTTCATTGGCGAGCTGCATCGGTAAAAATATATTTCGCAAAGAAAATTAATGCCAAGAACGTTCGGGCTAATTTGCCTACTCCCCATTTATTTTTTATTCAATTATTAGTAATCAGAGCCTAATTCGAGAACATTTTAGGCATCAAACCGATGCCGAAATCAACTCGAAGGGACAGAGAGAAATTAATTTTATTTTAGTCATATGAGTTATCCACAGTGACTTACCTGAGACTACTTTGAAGTGACTGATGACAAAAAAGTCAAAATGACTGGAGGGGAAGTAATAACGAATAAGTAGCCAGTTATTAAAAAGTCCTTCTCGACTTTTAAAGTTGACGACGGGTAAAAGTTCTAGAGTAAAGTTGGCGAACTTAATATTATCGTATGTCCCTAAATTATTTTTCAACTTTTTGAAAATTATGATTCACCTAACGCACTCATATTCTTATTTGCGAGCAGGAATCATATTCTATTACATGAACATAAAACCAGCATCGTGACGAGATGCATGCGACCTTACCATTGCTGCGGTAAATTGGGCTCCTGCATTGGCCTGGGCTCGATCAATATCTTCTATAGATCGATCATTGAGATTTAATAAAGAGGATTTTTATTTGGTTGTGTAAGGCTCTTGGAATAAGAGTGTGCCCATCAATATTATTTGGCTATTTGTCAACATTCATATCATAAATATTATCAATCAATAACTTGTTCGTACATTAAAAATACAATATTGCTTACAGATAAATAGAAAATTTTTATCTCGAGCAAACAAGATACGTTGATGTGAATACAACACACGTCACATGTACGTATTTACATACTAAAACAGGCACCTGTACTTACTTACAAGCACTTGTACGGGTACATGTACATGCACATATTACAAAGACACATGTACGTATTTCATATTAAATAAAAATGTCGATGGAATACCAAGCAATAGAAACATAACAAATAAATTATCCTCAAGAACAAAAATATTATACTATTTACACCATAGTTTGTACAAATTAAAGATTTATATATAACTGAACAATCAATCTTAGTCTCATCGAGGCAATAAGGTTCACTCACCGACAGTTCCTAGTGAAGACAGAGGCGGCGTCCTCCCATGAAGATGTCACGCCACGAAATATGAATTTGTCTGCAAGAAAACCGAGGGAAAGATCGCATTTCCGCTCAACGCGTCTTCTTTTCGTATGAGTTTTTTGAACTTCAGTTCATAAAAAGCCTTATTCTCTCATGTTCAAGTCTTCGCTAACATGTCTAAAACATGTGCATTGTACGTACAATTTAGTTTACACGCCATACGAATACAAAATGTCAGAAACACGAGTTACTTCACAGTCTTTTTGTGCGAGCTGAGCAGCAGCGAGCACAACCTCTTCCTGCGACGGCCGAGGCAACACTGCGACGACACGCGCGCTTGTCCCTCGTGCGCGGGAGAGCCTCGTAAAGTTCATCCCTCTCTGAGCGTTAATCCTGCAACTACGATATCAATCCTGCAACTACGATACTAATCCTGCAACTACGATATCAATCCTGCAACTACGATAGCAATCGTGTATCTACGAAAGCAATTCTGCGACAAGAATGTCAAGCATGCATTTGTATGCTCGATGTTCTTTGTCACTCTTTATTGTGAAGAAATTTTGCTTATTTCTAATAATGTTGTACTTTTTTCAATCGTTTTTTATAGTTATAGCATTAGTTACTAAATTGAATAGTTTTTTAATTGAAATTAAGATAAAACTGACGGAATATTGTGTAAATTCCGAAACTTTTTGCCCTTAAAGTTAAATAGCCTAAAGATCTTTAAGCTTTATAATGTTATTTCTTGCATAAAATCATTAAATAATTATTCTCTTTATACAAACTGGTTTCAACATATTTAAGTTCTCGCAATATATTTAGATAATGAACAATGAATAGAGAACTCCGTAGACTGAGCGGCAAGGGGCGACACCCTTCAGTTTCATGACGCGTTAAGCAGCCTGATGCGTGGACAAGCTTCCACCAAATCGCTCCATGTAGTGCGTGGACTACATAAAGCAGGAATTTGTAAAGTTTATGTTCGTGGATTGCATGATACGCACGGCCTTATTTAGCGTCAATTGCATGACTAGTTCAAGAAGAATGTGTGGAATGCATGATGCCATGTCCATGTAGTGCATGAAGTGCATGATGCCATGTCCGTGTAGTGCGTGAAATGCATGATGCCATGTCCATGTAGTGCGTGAAGTGCATGATGCCACGTCCGTGTAGTGCGTGAAGTGCATGATGCCATGTCCGTGTAGTGCGTGAAGTGCATGATGCCATGTCCGTGCGTGCAGTGCGTGACATGATCGGAGTGCGAATAGTTCTTGGAATGCGTGGCTGAGCATTACGTGTTCGTAAGTTGCGTATTCGTGCAGTCGTTCGAGGTGCTGGTCACTTAACACGACTAAAAAGTATTACACGATTAAAAGTATTCTACGCGACTAAAAGTATTAAGCTCCCACGAAGTGGAAGATCCTACAGCGCCTATAATAATGGAGCTTGAAGAGAGCTCGCTGATTGCACGACTTTAAATTGACCATTAATAAACACATTATTAATTTGATGTTGGAGGAGGATAGTTTACCTTAATTTTACGACGCTGAATCTCTCTTATTTTGTCCTATCTTATATGTACTGAGTTTGTTTATTAAAAGAAAAAATTTTGTTGACACATGAGAAAACAAATTAAGCCTTTTTCATTAAGGAATTATGTCGAAACGCAAAATTTTTCTCAATTCGGATTAGATTAGATTTTTTTTACAGAAGCATAGATTCGAGTATCCTCTTTTAATATAGTATTTTACATATGTTCCAATATTTTAAATTCCAATATAAGTAATTTTTCCTAACATATCACTAATTAATTTGTACCGATATCAAATCTTCATTCAAACTATCTTCGGAATAACAAACTTTTTTCCTACATTTTTTTCTCTTTGAATAGTAATGATTCCTAAACAGAAACGCGATTAATCATCAAAATAAAAATCACTCTGGAAAAAAGAAGCACGAGCTGCTGCCAATATACCATGAAAAACAACTCGTTTAATTAACAGCTAATTGGCAGACAATTTTTTCATAGAGCGCGCTTCGAAATTAAGTATTTAATCGAACCCAAGCCTGGACTAGATTGTACTGAATTCCAATGCTCCTGCAAGAGCTCTAAATATTGAGAAGAATTTTGAAAATAAGAATATAAATTCTTCCAGCTGAGAAAGGTTATTTGATCCTGGGGCAGGGCTAGTAATTAAAGCTATCCTTTCAGTTCGTTTGCAGAAATGTGAAACTTTTATTCTGAGAAATTCCTCTTTGTTGTTTGTACGAAGCTCTGGAGGTGTAGAGTTGCTCGTTATTAAGGAATGCCCCGATGTTTAATATCGTTGTACTTCGCTACTCGGCATCTTCTTTTATTGCGTATTAAAAATATGAGTTTTCACTTAACCTAGAATGCCTTCCATTCGATGCTTTAGATATACTGTAAATCGAACGTAAAGACAACATTGCAAGTATTTCTAACTTATTATACATTATACTATGCTTACACTTCACGCTAATGATAGCTCATACTATGATAAATGAAGTTGAAATTTATAACTATGATTCATTGCGATTAGCCATATCAACGCCGCTGATGTTATGAAGAAACTTCGAATTTAATGTATAAGTCTTGAGGTAACAAATGTGCGAACCTTATAACCTGTGTGCCGGATTATTAAACTAGCTTGCAAAATATTTACCCATAAGAAAACTGCATTCAATTAATTTTTAGCCTCAATAATCGCATTCATGAAGTTATCAAAGTCTTGAGCAGAAGTCATGTCAAGCTCAAGAAGAGCGTCATATTTCATCAAATTCATCGTTTTTTTTCTACTTATATTTTTACTAATTATTTATTAATGTATGGGCGTGGTTTGAAAAAAACAATAAATCAATTATGGGTATTAATTTAGATGCGGTTTTATCCATTTTTATGGATAAAAATGTTTGTTTTCATATGAAAAAGTAATTTTTTATTGGAACGATGAAATTTGATGAGAAAATTTTTAAATTTCCTAACAATGACATTACTTAAGAAATTCTTATTAAATTAATGAGCTCTAGTATTGAAATCTAGGTTCAGGAATGTGAGCCTACCTTCCTTGATCAACACTAGAGGACGTGTTGCAATATAAATATTTAAATATAAATATAGTGTCTATGCCTAAGGTATGAATATGAATAATATTGCAGTTCAGGAATGATCCATGCCAGCTGGACAGTAGGTAATTTGTAATGAAACATAAAATACAATCAACAAACTTGTTAGCTAAGAAGGCAATATAGAGGGGCAGTGTAAGGCAACATTCCTGATAAGAAAATTTTCAAATTCTGCCGGAGAGTTTACCGGAAAGTTTACGCTTGGTAGAAAATTGTTCTCGCCTAATATTTGCTTACTCCAATATTAATATGAATTTGCTCCTGAAACTTTACAACACTTCAGAGACGGGGATCTGAGGTACATTGTACTTAGATATAGGCTCTTGGCTCGTAATAGTTCACAAACTAATGATTGTTCGGTTATGGAGGCCACATAGAAATTATATAACGCATATATATAACTTATATATCAAGTCATATATAATATATCAGGCCTGATAGGTATTATATTAATATATTGCCCTCATAAAACAAATATGGAACGTGACGCTCACGGACGGATCGGCAGGCGGCAGCTCGGTGTCATGTTCTTGTCATTCTCTTAACTTAATTAAATGTGAGCTTTAATCCAATTAACCGCTTCCAGACCATGACTTGAGATAATCAAAACATTTGGAATTGATTTTTAAAAAATTTTTCCAACCTCCTTCTAATTTCCACGCTAAATTTTTCGAGTCGGAATATGTCGTCTGATTTTTTAGGCATTTTAACAAAGCTATTTTGCGACAATATCGATTATTCTTTTAATAATATCGTTGCTTCGATGAATGGAGGCGCCCAACGAGCCTAACTGAGGCCCATAAATTTAGTTGCTTAGTAATATCATTGAACTGTAGCACTAAGTAATGCAGACGACTCACGTGCCATAATGAGAAGTTGGTTAAGTTAAGTCCCAGTGTCTCTAAAGTTTGCAGGGCAACTTAAACTTGGAGCTCAAGCGCTCTGCGCACAAAGTGTCCATATTCGGGGACTGCGTATAAAGTTTTCATAATTTGGGGATTTCGTATAAATTGTCCATATTTTGGAACTATATAAGTGTCCATATTTTGAAACGGCGGCACTGAGATCGGGGCAGGACATCGCTCGACCTCTCAAACTTTGGTACAAACTTTGCGCTCCTTGGGGCACTTTTTAGTTTTTACGTTCTCATTACTGAAGATTTTTGGACTACATTTTCAAGAAAAACTAGAAAGGCACTGAGGCCCAATTACGAGTAACAAAAAATGATCGAATATTAGAACTTTTATTTTGCAAATAATAATCAACTTTAGTTTTATTAAGTCCTCAACTTACTAAAGATAACCATTTTAATTCCGAAAAATTTGTAGAATTTTCCAACGCCTGAAATCAATGTGAGAAACTAATATTTAGTCACATGTTTCGATGAAATTTCTGTTTTTGTATCGTAAACAGCTGGGATATAGTTGAAAAATAGCAAAAACAATTCAGAGAGTATGATTAATTGAATTAATATCGGATGTTCTGAGACTGAGGGGCTCTTTGATAACGAAGGCTCGCTGTGAAACTAAAGAGGAATGTTGCCCCTTTGTAAAGATATTGGTATTCCGCTGTAAATCTTTGATCGTAAAGATAGCCAATGTATAGGCGCAGAGGCAGTAATCCTCAGTCTGTTTGGACGAGAGCGGACAAGCCCGGTTCAGAGTAGTGGTAGTAGATTGGTTTGCTAGCGCTTCAGCTATCAAGCTATTTCGCACCGGAGGTCAAAAGATAACATCGCCGGCAAGGCAGAAGGTCTCAATTATTCAAAATCTCAAATTAATCATCACCCACAAGGGGTGGAAGGTCTCAATTGTCCAGCCCGCTGAAGCTGGCGCGAAGAAAAGCAGCGTTATCATCTCAATGAGACGAAGTGACAAGGAGGGACAGGTGAAAAGCAACAAAAACTAAGACACTCGAACAAGAGGTCGCTTACACGGTACGTCGGCCGCCCGCACGAGAGAGACAGAGAAGAGAAATGTAAGGAATCCTACCTACATAATAACTTAAACCCCACAACTGAGACCTGCAGTCAGACACCGCGAGCATAGCATGGAGCGCTCAGGAACAATCGCCCTGTTCAGACCGTCGTTCCTCTTGATACATATGATTTTTGTTAATAGTCCCTAGTCATGTAATTTATACGTTGTGAAATCGCCAC